TATCCATCTCGACTGGTTGAATTGGCAATCTGCAGGTAATAATCTCACCGGGCCCCACGGTGGGCGCCAATTGTTGATGCCAAGCTAAAATAGCCGACCTCGAACGTTGTAGAGTCCGGAGAGCGTTGACCTTTAGGTTGCCGTTGAATTCCAGCTCTCGAGATGAACACCTGCAAAAAAGGACCCGCCGGTTGTGATCGGCAGGGACCTTCTCCAAAGCTCAAATCAGTATTTGGAAGTAACCGGGAGCAGCATATTGAGCCGGCTCTAGGGGGAAAGCAAGAGAAATTTCGGGGTTGGAAGTTGCCAATTCGCCGAGAAGAAGTTCGTCGGGAATTCCCCTTTTCCGATCTCGTTCAGAGAAAATGAGTTCTCTGGATTTGAGATGGATTGCCGAGGAAACATAAATGAGCGTCCTATTTATAGGTGCCTCCTGCTCCTGGCATGGGTGGCGTGTCCTTTATTAATTGAAAAGGTTTAAAGAAGAAACCACTTTGATGGGTGCATACCTGTATCATCATTATATTCACCGTACGTGTAGAACCAATGAAAGGTGATGGGTGGCTAAGGTGTACGATGTAACCATAGTTGATAGGATTGGAGGTTTGGGAAAATTAAGTTTTAGACTTTTAATGTCCAACTAACAACTATGGGCCAGTAAATTGAACATAATGAGATAGGTTGATGGAGTTAATACCTCATGCATTTACATATATTTTGCTTTGCATGCATGTGATGGCGTACGTGCTCCATTTCTCCATGGGTATTCATAGAAGGAAAGTAACATAATCAATTTGGTGAGATAATTGGTTGATGGAACACATACAACCTCTTGCTACGTGTATGTAATGGGTAAAGCTGTCAAGTGAGGGGTTAATTAGAGGGACTAGGCTTATGACTAGTTTAGCCTATACACACACGTGTAATCACAGTAAAGTTGGGGTTTTTATTTGTGGGTAAAGGTTGCCATTCACCCAACTTAACAAAGATGGCTTGCTCTTTTGTTCCATGCAAATGAGACAGGTGGAGGGTTGTTTTACTATTACCATCCATCAATTTAAACAACTCTTACACATGGAAAAAGATGGGTGGTGAAGTGTTAACCTATAAATTTAGTTGGAGGGAAGCAAATAAGGATTTCCATCCACGTGGAATTGAGGTGGCAAAGTACCCACCTTTCTCCATTTTTTGCCCAGGTAAAAATAATTGGATGGGTGATCACTAGTTACTATAGTGATGGATGGGTGGTAATTAAATTAATGGGCTCATCAATTATCATTAATTGGAGTTGTCGAAGAAAATCAAAATCCAATTTATAAATTCTCGAATGAATGATGACCGACGGTACTGATCATAAGTCATAATGTTAAATCTACACGCATTTTGTCAATTAGGGATTAGGGAATAATAGGGGTGGCAATGGCTGAATGTGGGGTGGGTATGTTGGGAGGGAAGTGGGGATGGAATGGAGAGTTTGTGGTGAAAGGGGAGGAGATTAGGATGCATATTAGGAATATGATGGAGAACCAGAAGTTGAGGTCTCAAGCAGCGGAGGTCATGGAAGACATAAACAAGGTTGTTCGCCTGGTGACGTGCGCGATCGAACTCTGAAACATTTCATTAACAAGTGCTGATCTTAGATAATGTGGTTGTATAGATATTTTTATACTGATTTGGATATTATGGTATCAGGTTGCAAATAAGTGGTGGTAAAATCATGAATAAATTGTAATATGTAATATGCTTGAATGTTAAGATCAATGTGTTTTGGGCAAGCATAACAAAGGATTGTAAGTAATGAGGGATTCAGTTTCCACATGTAATACACATCATGTAAGAAACTGAAAAATGTAACTTAGGAGAATCAAACCGTAGTGGGTGCTGAAAGAGCTCGTGATACGAAGTCGTTTTCCCTAGAAGCAACAGTGGAGTTGGGTTAGAGTAATGTTGTCTCACTTAAGCACCTTCACACTTCCTATTATTATACTATAGATAGCCAGCTGCCAAATTTTATTGGTAGATAGTTTGTCTTCTATTAGTTACTGTTAAAAAGTAATTAGCCTGATACTGTGAGTTGCTGATCTTGAGTATATAAACGCCCTTTGAGGTACAAGAGCCCCTTACGGGTTTCACCAAAATTCATCTTCCTCTAAGATTTCACATGGTATCAGATTCAGACTCAGCCATCTAGGGTTTCCTTACCCAAACCATACCCACACTCATAGTAGCATTCCACAACAATGGCTACAATCTCCACATCTTCCTCTTCAACCCTTTCTACCTTGAACACAGTGACAAACCCATATTACATTAACCCTAATGAATCTTTAGTTTTCCATATTATGTTCATTGGACTAATTACAATATGAGGAGCAGAACAGCTCGTGTTGCTCTCAAGAGCAAGAACAATCTTGGATTTATAAATGGGTCGATTCCAACTCCAGACCCATATGAACAACGTTATCTTGCTTGGGAACAAATCAATAGTGTAGTTTATTTCATGATTTTTGGTTCTCTAGATCCACGCTTGGTTGAGAGTGTTTTGTCACAAGACAACGCAAAGTTGTTATAGGAAGATCTTAAACAACATTTTAGGCAAGCAGACAACATCAGGATCAGTGAACTACAATTTTTTATATCTATAATCTAAAGCAAGGTAATATATCAGTTAATCAATATTATTCTGGGTTGAAGGGTTACTGGGAAGATCTTGTTCAATTCCTGTGTATACCTAATTGCAGTTCTGGTGGCGAGTGATCGCGTGTAGTACGTGGTGTCAAATTTATCTAGTTTGAAGGTCAGGATCTGATTACTTGGGGTCTCTCACAACCACTTACTCAGGTAGAGAGGGAAGATTCATTGTTCGAAGAGCATATGTAAGAGGTTGAGGTGCCTCCGATTCAAACAGAAAGTAAAAGAAAATACAAGTTCAAAAAAGAAAACTAGAGCTAATGGGCGAGTGAAGGGAGATAGAAGAGGAAGGCGTTGCACATACAAGCTCCCCCTAGAGTTCCTAGAGGCATGCCCTCGATATCGGCAACATACTAGTTGTTGATTTCTTATGTCATCTAATCTCACCATGTGCCGAAGCATTTACCCAAACTAATTGTGACAAGGACCCTACAAATTTCTTCCAAGAGGCATCACGTCGTTTAATAGAATGATGATCGATTGATAGATACATCATGTTTGGTCTTCTTCTAGGCGATTAGGGTTTGATACTTACACCGGGAAGGGAAGTAAGTCCGACCAAGCATCCATTCGAATCAACAAAAGACTATAGAGGAAATCAAACAAAAAATATAGGAAAATGATATCAATCATATTGAATACCTAACATCGAGTTTACACATCTAGAACTTCTAGGGTTAGCAAATCTATGCAACTAATAGAAATAGTTGGGCATGAGGACAATTTTCTAAGGTTTCACCAATTGAAACGAAGATCCCAGAAGACCTTTGAAAACGACAACAATAATGGAAAAATTGGGGCTTAGGACACAGATTTTTCCACCGTTATCTCCCTCTTAACACCGATTTTGCTCTAAGTTGGGTGAGTTACTCTGTCGACAGAATAACATCCCTCTAATGCTTTCTATCTCGGCTACCGAGTTTTGAACCCTAGGGACCGATTTATAGGCCTTGGATTAGAGTTTCTAGAGAGAAGAACTCGACATTGATGCGTCACCCAATCAATCAGAAGAATCCCTTAGTGGAATTACTACTTCAGGTTAAGTCTGGACGCCTTTCTAAAAAAATTGGACTCTCCTTGAAATGGCTGCCACGAAGCTGTTTTAGATATTGGGTTGTTGATTCGTGAGCCTTTTTTGGGCCTTGGTCTTCTGTTTGAGTCTTGCTCCCAACAGCCGAGCCTCAATGTCCCTCACTGATCCCACGTGGTCCTCTCGCCGGCTTTGACCTGAAAATGCACAAAATGCTACCAAAAGCGTATCGTAATAACAAAAGCAGTTATGGAGCTACTAAACAAATCTTTGAGCATTCACATAGAAAATTGAAGGTATTATGATGAGGAATATGAGAAATTAATGCACTTTGGTATTAATACGAGGGTCTAAAATAACGTATACTTTGTGTCATCAAATAACCCCACGCTTGAACTTTGTTGTCGCCAAGCAAACCTAAGCTAAAATAAATGTACAACTCATAGGACCTCTAAGATGACACTTGGTTTTTTATTTTAGGTAGTGGATCATAAGGAGCTTACAAGGCCAGTCCTCGCACTTAGAGAGCCTTGATCATGACGATGAAGTGTGAAACGTACTTCATAATAATAAAATGATTCGTCGGCTGATAATTGTCGAAAACATATTGATTCTATGTGCTTAATGTGATTAGGGGAAAAATCTATATTAGACCGGTTTTAACGGATTTCGAATGGAAAAACTAACGGAAGGGTATGTTTGAGAATTTGTTGATAGTGGTGGAAGGGCATATTTGATATTATTTAAAGTAGAGGTGCATGTTTGAGAAAAATGCATAGTAAATGGGCATATTATACCTATATACCATTTTTTATTGACATCAACATGGCATTAAGTTAACCATCCAGTCAGTAGTCATGTTTGCCACGTCATCAAAAAATTGACGGAGACTGACGATCGATGACTAACGGTAAAATGATTCGTAAAGTTAGTGACCAAACATATAATTTAGCCAATACTGAAAAATATGGAATAAAGTGACATTTAGACCGGATCAAAACGGACCGGATTCAATGCTCATCTGATCCTTTTATTCTTAACATGTTTTTTTGACCCCGGTTCTTGTAGTACGAACCGAACCGAACACAATATACTATCCATTTGAACAACCATACTCAAATCGCTCATGCTCGAGCTCGAGAGCTTCGACCGATTCGGCTACTCCTCCTTGTCCGATTGTCACGTAATCGCAGTAGGTTGGGCCTGATAAAACAGGGCCGAACTCTGTTCTTTGATATGCCAACTGAAAGTTATTAACAAAGGGACCAATACAAGAGAAGAGGCTGTTCGTCCCTTTCGAAAAGTTGACTGAGAGCCCAACCCACAAGCCACCACCAAACTCCCTTTCTCCCTTCCTTTCCATGGAGATAAGATCCAATCACTCACAGGATCTTCTTCCCCCTTCATTTCCCTCGTCGAATTCTGACCGTTTAATTGCACACTAAAAAATTTCCTCCGTCTCCCACCAGAGCAGGAGGGAGCAGGGAGAGAAAAAAAGCATCAACCATGAAGTCCCTCTGCTGCCACTCTCCCCTCGTCCACAGTCCTTCCGCAGAACTTACAGTTACAGCCCTGTATAAACCATCAAACCCCAATTCTCACAAGAAGCTTCCAGTTACAGCTGCATCCAGCTCGTATTCCTTCCCAAAGTCTTTGCCTTTAGTAGCCACAGCTGCTGCTGCTTCTGTCGCCATACTTCTCTCCGCAACCCCAGGTTCCAAAACCCAGAAACCCTTTTCCTCTGATTTCATTCACCGTTCGACGATAAAAGATGGGTGGTGCCTTGTTTAGAAGAAAGCTTATATCTTGACGGGGTTTTGGTCTTTTTGTTGCAGCTGAGGCAGGGTTTATGTCTGGGTTCTCTGGGATTGAATCAGTACCCGGTCCTGAATTGCCTAAGATGGACTTCCTCACCCGCTTCAATGGTTTTTAGCATTGCTTTCTTTTGTACCTCTTGTGGATTTGACATTCAATTCCAGGTTATGGCAATGGCTTCTGCTCATCTCTCATTGTCTCCCAATTTTCTGCTGCAGAAGACAATCAGAAGAAGTATGCTGAAGAGGATGAAAGATTCAAGTCATCTCCCATTCTCAAGGAGCTACTGGAAAAATCCAAGCTCAACAAGGAAAAGTAATGGTTTCTTTTCTTGTTCAAGATAAGCTATATCCCTCTGTATCTTGTCCCACGACTGATGCTAGTTCATTACTGCATATTAGCTCAAACTGCTAGGTGAAATTCAAATATTGAACCTTAACCCATTTTCCAACACTCTTTCAAAAGGAAATCTGCCCACTAGAAGGCTTGAAGTTTACGCAAATGCATCGATATCTTGTAAATAAATTTACCATTTTTCTGTTTCGATCACTACTGGGATTACTATGATTTGAAGGCACGACATTAACGAGTTAATCCGAGGCAACAATTACAAATCTTTGATTCATAAGCTTTTCGAGGCTGGAAGAGAGGAAGTGAAAAGCTAAATGATTATGACAATTAAGCTGGTTTTTGTGCTAAGATCATGTCTAATTTTGGATATTTGTTTTCTTAGATCTCATAAGTGGCTGATGAATGTCTTGAATGGAACCATTTTTGCAGGAACAAGCAGGAAATACAGGACAAGTACTGCCTTCGAGGCGCGGAATGGGGAGTTGGTGATTGTTCAACAGAGGGCATGTCTCCACAGCAAAGAGAAGAGTTCATAGCCATGCTGAAGAAGAAGACTGGAATAGAAGAATGAAATGAATGGAGCTTACTCCAAGCTCTTACTTCTGGTTTCGTTTAGCAGTTAGTCTTAGTCTATCAACTTCAGGAATTCATTTCACATTCTCTACTGAGCTTCTGAACCCATCACTTTATTGGAATCCTGTCAAATGAAAGCAACCAAGTACTAGTGATTTACTTGATCATGTTGCATGTTCTTCGCCATTTGGGATGTTCCATAGGTCAGAATCAAGTAATAATCTCAAAGAAGTGACGACAGGCAAAAGTCTCTACTTTTTGGGGACAATATGTAACCCTCTTGGTCTTGGGATCCCCATGCCATGGCCCATGGGCACCATTTTTTCTTATTGCCATTAATGCAAAACAGTCACAGTAAACTACAACATATATCAAAATGCTACTTGAACTGAAGTGACATGTAACAAAACAACAGCTCAACCTCATTCCATGTGTATCATTAGTTAGGCTAAGTTAGGATTGAAAAATAATCATCAGAACTACCCACTCAGTAAGTCACACTAGCCACTCGACTCAACTCTTTCCAACTCAGTTGCTATGTACAATATCTAATAAAACCTATAAATCAAGAATCCAAATCAATTAATTCGCATCCAGATTCACTCGTAACTAAATGAAACTCTAGTCAATACTCTCAATTTGGCACCTATAAGTATCTAGAAAGGTCAAATCTATCTACCACAACCTTAATAGGAGCCTAACTCACATGCAGCCCAAATTAACCAAAATGTCAATGACACTTAATGTGCCTTACATGCAACCTGGTTAACTTGCAAATTGATTGACCTACAATCAAATTAGTCGATGACTCGATTGCCTTGTAACTTCATTGGCAAGTAATCAAATCAACCAATAACATGATACTATGACTTGATTCACATGTGCCTAATCAACCTAGTCCAATTTCAACCACACCCATCCATTTTAGAAACCCTATATATAGGTAATCGTTTTTGTTAATTGTTTTTATTAAAATACGAAAGGATCTAAAATAGTTGAATTTAAAAAAATATATGAGTTGACTTAACATAGACAAAAGACAACGAACAATTACATAAATGATAGAACTTATGTACTTCAACATTGTGACTACAATTATGAGGATCATTGCACCCTGATTTACCAGGAAGTATTGTAACTTGATTAATTTTCATTTTAGTCTATGAATTCGATGCCAAAATTTAAGTATAGGATATGGTGAATATAAGTTCCTCTGTGGACTTCTTCCATTGTCCTGCAAATCCTTTTGAATCTCAAAGCTAAATGAACATGTTAATGGTGGATAACGGAGTTGGGATTTGATACATGTTTCAACCCTATCTAGCACTTGGATGAGTAAAAAAGGATTCAATAGCCTACAACTGGAATGATTTTTTTTTTTTTTTTTTTTTTTGTCAAGTGACACAATAAGGCCCTAACTGTAAGTCAGTAACCTCCAAATATATATGCATCATATCTCAAATGTGACAACCACTCATCCCTGTCTTGCGCCCTCTCTATCTGCCGTTTGGGGATGCCCGTTTGAAGACTTCCTGAAGATCAACTTTGACACTGTCGTTCGTGATTCTGATTGCTCATCTAATCTCATTGTGCGTGGGACAAATGGACAAGTTCTTGAAACATTGGGGTCTCAGCAGCAAAGAGTTACAGATCCTTATATTGCAGAACTGCTTGTTGCAAGGGATGTCATCTCATTAGCGGTCTCCGGGAGTCTACCCCGTGTCATCATTGAAGGTAATTCTAAAATGGTGATCCGTCAACTGTATCGTAGATCAGTAGAAGATTCGTTTACGCAATCCCCTGTTGCTAGAGTACTGTCTTGGTCATGTCCTCTTTGTGTAGTTTGGGGCGGTTCAACGGATTGGCAACTGGGCTGCCATAGAGTGGCACGTAAAGCTCTGAGCTATCATCTTTAGAATTATCGTCCTTTGACTTTGTAGGACGACTTCATTTTTTTTACGGACAACCTGTGAATATTTTTATCAGAAGAAACGATTACATCATCTAGTCGGAGCTGGTCAATAAGGAAATACGGTGGTCTTTCAAGCCACACTTCTCTATTGTCCCAACGTGTCTCGCTATCGGCCATAATATGTGCAACATTATTTGGCGTACGCCGCACATGGTTTATACAGCCAGGGTCTGAATCCGTCTCCTGAAGAAGTCTGATAATACGCCTGCAGATAATTCCTACCTCAGTGTGGACGTCCTGAGCTTGCAATAACTTCTCAATCAAAGTCGAACGGTCAACTTCAAGCTGTAGCCTTGTGAAATCCTGCTGGTTCGCTAATTGGACGTCGAATTCTGCTGCCAAGGCTTCCACCATCTCCACTCCAAAAGAGTCGCAAACTTTCTTGGTGGCCGCTGCTAGAAATCTCCCCTGGTGGTCTCGGTACACTGCTCCCAGGCCAATTCCTTTATCAGCCAACATCCCTGTATCGGCTTTGTCCACTGATCCGCTTGCAAGTTGCCCATAGCTACATCTTCTAGGCCTTGGTTCTTCTGGTACTCTTCAAGAATGAATATCGCTCGCTGCACTATCTCATCCTCAAGCCATTTAAGGCCGTTAAAGAGTTGCACATTTCGCTCTTTCCATATTGTCCATAAAATCATTGCACACGATTCCATCATGTCCGAGCTCTCATGCTTCATAACCTCCGCAATCTAGTGCAGACAGTTCACTATGCGTTGCTTTGGATGTGTTTTGGGTAGATGTTTCTAACTATACTATATAATATATAGGGTTAATACCTTGTTATGGCCTGAACTATGACCATGTAATCAACTTTGGCCAATGGTTTGAGAAATTAACATCCTGGCCCGAACTATGAAGCATATAGACAAAATTGGCCTAGAGCGTGGTTTGACAGTTTGTTTGGACGGTCAACACCTTTGACCGTTAGTCAACTGTCCAGGTCACTGCCATGTCAGCATAAAAAAAATTATAATTTCTTTTTTCTTTTTATTTCATTTACAAAATTGAATAATTAAAAAAAAAGCAAAAACAAAAACTTTTGGCCCACCCATCCGGCCATCCCTACCTTGTCCCCTCACCTTCTTTCCTTTTCGATCAAACCCAAACAAACCCTATCTTCCGGCTTAGGATAGGGTGAGTAACCCTTTGTTACTCACCCGTGAGTAACCACATAGGGACCGTCGATCTTGGCCGGACGGATCTTGTGGCTGTGATTGATGCGGTGTTTTTTGTCCACAGTCAGGGGCATTTTTGTCCGATATTTTATATTTGAATTAAATGACTTTCCCTCTTTGTCCGTTGCAAATCTTTCTGTGCGTGAGTTGGATTCGGATTTTGGAGAGAGAAACTACGAGCAGGGGGAGCAGCAGCTGAGAAACAAGGACGGCAATTCTCCATGGTTGATCGACGGCGATAGAAACTTCGAGCAGCAGCTTCGAATCGAGCTTTCTGATTCTCCATAATTGATCGACGTGTGCGCGAGTTGGATTCGGTTTTTGTAGAGAGAAATTGCGAGCAGCCGCTGCGAAACAGGGGACGGCGAATCTTTTCTGATTCTCCATAATTGATCGACGACGAGGTTAGATATTAGTTTTTTTGATTCTTTCTGTTTAGCTAATCGAGTTTTCTGTTGATCTCTGGTTTCGTTGGAGGTTTTTCATTGCTGCTAGTCGAGCTTGTTTATGTTTAGCTAATTCGAGCTTGTTCATGTGTTATGTTCTTTGTGTTTTAGTGTTTTGGCAGTATTCTGGTGAGATGAGTAACGTAAATTGTGGCGATGTTGTTCCAATTGATAGATCTGGTTCTTCAACCAGCATTGTAGGATCTGGTTCTTCATCTAGTGCTGTTGGAACTGCTTCTTCATCTATTGATCTTGGATTTGATCATTCAGCTAACTCTGGTGAATCAGGAGGTAAGATATGCAAATTTGTTTGTTTATTGAAGTTTGTATAGTGTCGTAATATGATTTTACCATGCCTTATCATGTGGTAATTGATTTTATAGTACATTACCATGTGGTAAAATGTGGTAATTAGGAAGTTAAATGTGATGTTTCTGTGTGATAATTGATTTTACCATGCCATACCATATGGTATAGGGTGGTAATTTGATTTTACCATGCCTTATCATGTGGTAATTGATTTTACAGTACATTACCATGTGGTAAAATGTGGTAATTAGGAAGTTAAACTTGAGGATTCTGTGTGATAATTGATTTTACCATGCCATACCATATGGTATAGTGTGGTAATTTGATTTTACCATGCCTTATCATGTGGTAATTGATTTTACAGTACATTACCATGTGGTAAAATGTGGTAATTAGGAAGTTAAACTTGAGGATTCTGTGTGATAATTGATTTTACCATGCCATACCATATGGTATAGTGTGGTAATTTGATTTTACCATGCCATACCATGTGGTATAGTGTGGTAGTTTGATTTTACCATGCCATACCATATGGTATAGGGTGGTAATTTGATTTTACCATGCCTTATCATGTGGTAATTGATTTTACAGTACATTACCATGTGGTAAAATGTGGTAATTAGGAAGTTAAATGTGAGGGTTCTGTGTGATAATTGATTTTACCATGCCATACCATGTGGTATAGTGTTGTAGTTTGATTTTACCATGCCATATAGTGTGGTAATTTGATTTTACCATGCCATACCATGGTGGTAACTCTTGTATCATGGCTGTAATTATTGGTATACATTGAGATTTCATACTGTTGTGGTGTGGAATCCATTTAATATGTTGTTTCATAATGTTTGTAGGTTTCAATGGTATAGATCCTACTGTTCGTGATTCTTGGAAGGACTTAGAGTTCAATACACCAGATGATGCATATAATTTTTATGTTGATTATGGGAATCATGAAGGTTTTGGTGTGAGGATTTATAACCAATCAGCGTGTCCGAAGCTCAATGGTGGTTCTTCAGCTGTATATTATATCAAGTATTGTTGCAATAAGGAAGGTTGGAAAAGAGGTAGCGAGAATAACCCTGATAATGCAGGTGTTGTTGATACGACGGTTCGTGTTCGTAATGTTCCAGAACTCAGGGGTGGATGTAATGGTGCTTATATACGACTGAGGTGGTTTAAAGAGTTTAAATGCTACAAGATCTATCGTTGGTATAATGTGCACAACCATGACATGATTCCTGAGTCTCTGCGTCACTATGTGAGATCCAGCAGACGAATGGCTCCTGTGTATAAGATGTTGGCAGAGGTGAATGATGCTGCTGGTATTGGTGTGACTTCTTCGTATAATGCAATTAGTAGGGCTGGTGGTGGTCGGAAGTTTGTTGGGTTCACAAAGAATGATTTGAAGAACCATCTGCGAACGGTTAGGACGTCATCAATGGAGTATGGTG